TGGTCGGTACATGTGATACGTCGTTGAAAAGGTCTTAACGTACAGAGTAAGGGAATAATAATGAAAAAATTTCTCTTTTAACGTAGAAGAGAAAAATCATGCCAGAAGGGCCTTAGCGTATATCTCAGCTATCGTTGGTCCGATTTAAACGGGAAAAAGGGGGTTATGTAGAGAGCATGATATAGATTAACATACAAGAGAAAAATCATGCGTAGTGGTAAAGCCAGAAGGACCTTAGCGTGTATCTTCACTGCTATTGGTCCGATTTAAATGGGGAAAAACGGCATTACGTAGAGATCGTGGTATAGATTAACGTTGAATAGAAAAATCATGCGCAGAACGAAAAGCCACAAGGGCCTTAGCGAATATCTCAGCTATCGTTGGTCCGATTCAAACGGGAAAAACGGCACTATGAAGAAGATGTGACGGCAAGAGAGGTAACCTACCCGCCGATGAGGATTTCACCAATGAGCGGCGAACATAACCCCCAGTTTAAACGGTCGTTAGACAGCTGCCCGTGGCCCCGGGGCCCGCCACGAGGCGAGCGCCACGCGGAGTCGCGCCGATGAACATAGGATCTTGGACACCAATGCTTTTTAAATGAAAAACGTGTAGTTTACTCTGGACAGTAGAGTGCAGGTGTGGACATTTAAGTAAAGACTGGACAAATATTGCTAATAATTTAAATGGAGGAAAGTTATTTGTAATAGGGTAAAGTCAACATTGGACAATGAAAATAAAATAAAATAAAATATATTTTGTTTTAAAATTATATTTTTAAAGAAACAGCAATAAGTATTTACAGTAACTCAATGAGTTTTAAAATTGTCTCTCTTTGAAGCTCAGCCTTTTTATTTAGCCCCATTTTTAGTAAACTTGTAATAAGTTTCTTTTTCTTAATTTGTTTTTCTTTGTAATTATTCCTAATTTCAATACCCCGTTCTGTTTTGTAAAATTGTCTCCGTTTCTCGTTAGCTTCTTCCCTCCGCCTTATTCCTTCGGCACCTCTATCACATCTACATGTGGATTTATCATGAAGTTCGTGTTCGGATGTGTAGTTTTCTAAGTCTTTCACACCTTCAGATGCTAATTCTGAAATTTCTGTGCGTACTAAACCACACTGTTTTCCTCGAGAATGTAACCAATCTTGTTTAAATACTCTTCTATCGTAATGAGAATGAGGTGTACCCCTAAGACCATCTCCATCCCTTCTAAGTGGCTTTTGTCCATCAGCACAGGTGATGTATCTGAGGACACCAACAGCATGGTCCAAGCAAATTATTTTCCTAAAAGTTGTTTTTGAATGGAGTCGTGTACCAGTGCGCTGTAGTTTTTTCTTGTAGGCCAACATTGTAAATCCATTAGTAAAATGTATTAAAGCGTGAAGATGTTCATGTGCTGTACTACCATCGTCTGCTATTAGATGACATCGACAAATAGAATACCATTTAATATTTGGAGCACAAGCAAGTAAATTAAAGTCCTTTTCATTTAATATTAAATGATACCATTCTTTGGATAATTCTTCGTAATCTTGTGCCATTTCCTGTGGCGACAAAGCGTTAATTTCATTTAGATTCAAGAGAGTCAAATAATCAGTTTTTGACAGTGAAGACATTTTTTTGTTATTTTTAGAGAAACTACTCGTAGAAAATGTCTCAATAGACTGGAAGAGTCTTTAATGTCTCAATACCTTAAACAAATAATTCGTTACCCCCCACCACCAAGATTTTTGCGCACGCGCAGTAGTACAAACGAACGTGATGTAAGCGTCGTTGCGACATGCGTTCACGTGAACGAAGGTTAGGTTAGGAGGGCATACGAGAAGTTCTCCATGTTTCATCGTTTTCTTATTTTTCATCTTTTCTCGGTAAATTGCTTTAGAACTTCTCGTATGCCCTCCTAACCTAACCTTCGTTCACGTGAACGCATGTCGCAACGACGCTTACATCACGTTCGTTTGTACTACTGCGCGTGCGCAAAAATCTTGGTGGTGGGGGTAACGAATTATTTGTTTAAGGTATTGAGACATTAAAGACTCTTCCAGTCTATTGAGACATTTTCTACGAGTAGTTTCTCTAAAAATAACAAAAAAATGTCTTCACTGTCAAAAACTGATTATTTGACTCTCTTGAATCTAAATGAAATTAACGCTTTGTCGCCACAGGAAATGGCACAAGATTACGAAGAATTATCCAAAGAATGGTATCATTTAATATTAAATGAAAAGGACTTTAATTTACTTGCTTGTGCTCCAAATATTAAATGGTATTCTATTTGTCGATGTCATCTAATAGCAGACGATGGTAGTACAGCACATGAACATCTTCACGCTTTAATACATTTTACTAATGGATTTACAATGTTGGCCTACAAGAAAAAACTACAGCGCACTGGTACACGACTCCATTCAAAAACAACTTTTAGGAAAATAATTTGCTTGGACCATGCTGTTGGTGTCCTCAGATACATCACCTGTGCTGATGGACAAAAGCCACTTAGAAGGGATGGAGATGGTCTTAGGGGTACACCTCATTCTCATTACGATAGAAGAGTATTTAAACAAGATTGGTTACATTCTCGAGGAAAACAGTGTGGTTTAGTACGCACAGAAATTTCAGAATTAGCATCTGAAGGTGTAAAAGACTTAGAAAACTACACATCCGAACACGAACTTCATGATAAATCCACATGTAGATGTGATAGAGGTGCCGAAGGAATAAGGCGGAGGGAAGAAGCTAACGAGAAACGGAGACAATTTTACAAAACAGAACGGGGTATTGAAATTAGGAATAATTACAAAGAAAAACAAATTAAGAAAAAGAAACTTATTACAAGTTTACTAAAAATGGGGCTAAATAAAAAGGCTGAGCTTCAAAGAGAGACAATTTTAAAACTCATTGAGTTACTGTAAATACTTAATGCTGTTTCTTTAAAAATATAATTTTAAAACAAAATATATTTTATTTTATTTTATTTTATTTTCATTGTCCAATGTTGACTTTACCCTATTACAAATAACTTTCCTCCATTTAAATTATTAGCAATATTTGTCCAGTCTTTACTTAAATGTCCACACCTGCACTCTACTGTCCAGAGTAAACTACACGTTTTCCATTTAAAAAGCATTGGTGTCCAAGATCCTCTGATAAAACGTGTAAAGTTGTAAAATCAGCTGTTAAATATTTTATGATGATAAGCGACTGTTTTATTTAAAAACGTTTTTATACGGTGTAAATCATTTAAAATAATATTTATATCGGATTTTCTATTATTAACATACATATAAATTTGGTGTATTAATCCCTCCTTAAAGTAGACGGCTCGGGTAAAAGAACTATTGGCTTTTTCTGTAACAAAAATAAAGAAGAATTAGAGCTCTTAAAAAATTTAATGACAAAGACCTACCATTCAAAACAAGTAGAAAATTTAAAATTAATGAGAATAGGAATCATGTTCAACTTTATTAGTAGAAAATAGAAAATAGTTTTAATTCAAAGCCAGTACAAAGATTAATGATGTAAAATTTTTGACATAGGGTAAAAGTAATTACCTCGGGTTCTTGAGGGTATGACTCTTAAACATCCCTTACCTCCTTCGTAATTTTCTAGACCAGAATAAAATAGTGGGAAAAGGTAAAAATGAAATAAAAATTATGCTTCCCCAGTTTTTCTATTTATATTTACTTTTATTCAATTACTATTTACAGGAAATAGATTTTAAAAACAATTTTTACTAGTTCTAACTTATATGTCTGTGGGGGTCGTTGTTTTTAACGTTAAACTCAGAAGGTGATAAATCGTTGGTAGAGTTGTTATTATTTTACATGATCGAATTATTCAACCCGTATGATATTTGTAAGGCCTCTTTCGGCTCTCAAAATTTCGACAAAGCTCTTGCGAAAAAATTCAAGAATTGATATATTCAATTTTTTAGATATGGATGACTTGCAACTTACACGTTTACAAACTTTCACCAAGTGGCCTCTATATTTAAACCCAAAGCCTATTCTGCTTGCAGCCGGAGGTTTCATTTATTCCGGTACCGGAGATAGATGTATTTGTATGATTTGCGGGTTATCTTTGAAAAATTGGAAATCAAGCGATATTCCGATTGATATCCACATGAAAAAGAAACCAAACTGTCGATTTATTAGTAGTTTCAATGAATTACAGAAAATGAAATTTTATCATGAAAGATTAAAAACGTTTTTAAATTACTCCAAGAAACCTAATATAGATCCATGTCGGTACGTAAGTGTTGGCTTTTATTGTAAAGATGATGAGATGAGATACATCACTTATAAAGATTTTTCAAAGTATGTAACAAGATTGGAGTCGTTTAAAAATAGACCTGTGCAAACCCATCCACTTAAAAAAGTGAATCCGCACGCTGCTTCTAGAGAAGGGTTTCTGTACTCAGGTGTCGATGCCTATATTATTCATGAATCTAGATGTGATTTTATATCAGATAATAATAATTCCGATGATAATGATGAAAATGATCGTCTTCTGTGTAAAATTTGTTTAGAAGCCGAAATAGACGCGGTGTTTCAGCCCTGTGGTCATGCGGCCGCATGTATAACTTGTGCAACGAAAATAAGAGATTGCTGTATTTGTAGATGTAAATTAGAAGCTAGTATACGAATTTATATTTAATTAGAACTCGATTAAAAATATTTCTTAAGGTTAATATTATTTTTAGATGCCCGCTAGTGGAACCGGTTATCGACTAGGGGCGCGCCACTGTGTTTTCTCAGCAATGTCTTGTAGTAATTGCGGGGCGTTTATTAGTACTAAACAACCCCGTAGCGACAGAGATGACCAATATAAGCAATTAGATTTCGCGACTTAGGTTGTTTAGTACTAATAAACGCCCCGCAATTACTGCAAGACATTGCTGAGAAAACACAGTGGCGCGCCCCTAGTCGATAACCGGTTCCACTAGCGGGCATCTAAAAATAATATTAACCTTAAGAAATATTTTTAATCGAGTTCTAATTAAATATAAATTCGTATACTAGCTTCTAATTTACATCTACAAATACAGCAATCTCTTATTTTCGTTGCACAAGTTATACATGCGGCCGCATGACCACAGGGCTGAAACACCGCGTCTATTTCGGCTTCTAAACAAATTTTACACAGAAGACGATCATTTTCATCATTATCATCGGAATTATTATTATCTGATATAAAATCACATCTAGATTCATGAATAATATAGGCATCGACACCTGGGTACAGAAACCCTTCTCTAGAAGCAGCGTGCGGATTCACTTTTTTAAGTGGATGGGTTTGCACAGGTCTATTTTTAAACGACTCCAATCTTGTTACATACTTTGAAAAATCTTTATAAGTGATGTATCTCATCTCATCATCTTTACAATAAAAGCCAACACTTACGTACCGACATGGATCTATATTAGGTTTCTTGGAGTAATTTAAAAACGTTTTTAATCTTTCATGATAAAATTTCATTTTCTGTAATTCATTGAAACTACTAATAAATCGACAGTTTGGTTTCTTTTTCATGTGGATATCAATCGGAATATCGCTTGATTTCCAATTTTTCAAAGATAACCCGCAAATCATACAAATACATCTATCTCCGGTACCGGAATAAATGAAACCTCCGGCTGCAAGCAGAATAGGCTTTGGGTTTAAATATAGAGGCCACTTGGTGAAAGTTTGTAAACGTGTAAATTGCAAGTCATCCATATCTAAAAAATTGAATATATCAATTCTTGAATTTTTTCGCAAGAGCTTTGTCGAAATTTTGAGAGCCGAAAGAGGCCTTACAAATATCATACGGGTTGAATAATTCGATCATGTAAAATAATAACAACTCTACCAACGATTTATCACCTTCTGAGTTTAACGTTAAAAACAACGACCCCCACAGACATATAAGTTAGAACTAGTAAAAATTGTTTTTAAAATCTATTTCCTGTAAATAGTAATTGAATAAAAGTAAATATAAATAGAAAAACTGGGGAAGCATAATTTTTATTTCATTTTTACCTTTTCCCACTATTTTATTCTGGTCTAGAAAATTACGAAGGAGGTAAGGGATGTTTAAGAGGCATACCCTCAAGAACCCGAGGTAATTACTTTTACCCTATGTCAAAAATTTTACATCATTAATCTTTGTACTGGCTTTGAATTAAAACGATTTTCTATTTTCTACTAATAAAGTTGAACATGATTCCTATTCTCATTAATTTTAAATTTTCTACTTGTTTTGAATGGTAGGTCTTTGTCATTAAATTTTTTAAGAGCTCTAATTCTTCTTTATTTTTGTTACAGAAAAAACCAATAGTTCTTTTACCCGAGCCGTCTACTCTAAGGAGGGATTAATACACCAAATTTATATGTATGTTAATAATAGAAAATCCGATATAAATATTATTTTAAATGATTTACACCGTATAAAAACGTTTTTAAATAAAACAGTCGCTTATCATAATAAAATATTTAACAGCTGATTTTACAACTTTACACGTTTTATCAGAAAGTGATAACCGTTGGTATTCAATTATTATAAAACGAAAGCGTTGTCAATAACCCCGGTTAAAACGTTGTTGACTAGGTCAATACCTTTGAATGGAAATTATATAGAGCAAACAAATTACACTTTTGGAGGTTTTTATACGGGCTCATTCATTAAAAGGTTAAAAGCCATACAATTTTTCAGAAGACCTACGAACCTACTACCTAAGAAAGATTTTTGATCCTTTTCTAATAAAAATAATTACATAATTTTTTAAAATTCAATAGATTTTTGGTTAAGTTTTTGAAATTAATTGGGTGCTGTGGTTTAGAGAAAGGACGATAATTACAGTTATAAAATGTTAAAAAACTTACTTCTAATCTTTTCAAAGTAAGGGCTGTTTCAGTTCTATAAGATGTAGGAGGATGCGGCTTCACGCCTAATCTTGAGTCCTATTAATACTTTTGGTGGAGATCCGACGTTAGTATCTAATAATAGAAAATAATTGTAAGAAATAATACCTTACACTCAAAATCTATTTAAATCAAGAAAAATTAGCTTTTAGTTTTTGAAATTAATTGGGCGGTGTGCTTTAGAGAAAGGACGATAATTACAGTTATAAAATGTGAAACACTTACTTCTAATCTTTTCAAAGTAAGGGCTGTTTCAGTTCTATAGGATCTTGGACACCAATGCTTTTTAAATGGAAAACGTGTAGTTTACTCTGGACAGTAGAGTGCAGGTGTGGACATTTAAGTAAAGACTGGACAAATATTGCTAATAATTTAAATGGGGGAAAGTTATTTGTAATAGGGTAAAGTCAACATTGGACAATGAAAATAAAATAAAATATATTTTGTTTTAAAATTATATTTTTAAAGAAACAGTATTAAGTATTTACAGTAACTCAATGAGTTTTAAAATTGTCTCTCTTTGAAGCTCAGCTTTTTTATTTAGCCCCATTTTTAGTAAACTTGTAATAAGTTTCTTTTTCTTAATTTGTTTTTCTTTGTAATTATTCCTAATTTCAATACCCCGTTCTGTTTTGTAAAATTGTCTCCGTTTCTCGTTAGCTTCTTCCCTCCGCCTTATTCCTTCGGCACCTCTATCACATCTACATGTGGATTTATCATGAAGTTCGTGTTCGGATGTGTAGTTTTCTAAGTCTTTTACACCTTCAGATGCTAATTCTGAAATTTCTGTGCGTACTAAACCACACTGTTTTCCTCGAGAATGTAACCAATCTTGTTTAAATACTCTTCTATCGTAATGAGAATGAGGTGTACCCCTAAGACCATCTCCATCCCTTCTAAGTGGCTTTTGTCCATCAGCACAGGTGATGTATCTGAGGACACCAACAGCATGGTCCAAGCAAATTATTTTCCTAAAAGTTGTTTTTGAATGGAGTCGTGTACCAGTGCGCTGTAGTTTTTTCTTGTAGGCCAACATTGTAAATCCATTAGTAAAATGTATTAAAGCGTGAAGATGTTCATGTGCTGTACTACCATCGTCTGCTATTAGATGACATCGACAAATAGAATACCATTTAATATTTGGAGCACAAGCAAGTAAATTAAAGTCCTTTTCATTTAATATTAAATGATACCATTCTTTGGACAATTCTTCGTAATCTTGTGCCATTTCCTGTGTCGACAAAGCGTTAATTTCATTTAGATTCAAGAGAGTCAAATAATCAGTTTTTGACAGTGAAGACATTTTTTTTGTTATTTTTAGAGAAACTACTCGTAGAAAATGTCTCAATAGACTGGAAGAGTCTTTAATGTCTCAATACCTTAAACAAATAATTCATTACCCCCACCACCAAGATTTTTGCGCACGCGCAGTAGTACAAACGAACGTGATGTAAGCGTCGTTGCGACATGCGTTCACGTGAACGAAGGTTAGGTTAGGAGGGCATACGAGAAGTTCTCCATGTTTCATCGTTTTCTTATTTTTCATCTTTTCTCGGTAAATTGCTTTAGAACTTCTCGTATGCCCTCCTAACCTAACCGCAACGACGCTTACATCACGTTCGTTTGTACTACTGCGCGTGCGCAAAAATCTTGGTGGTGGGGGTAATGAATTATTTGTTTAAGGTATTGAGACATTAAAGACTCTTCCAGTCTATTGAGACATTTTCTACGAGTAGTTTCTCTAAAAATAACAAAAAAAAATGTCTTCACTGTCAAAAACTGATTATTTGACTCTCTTGAATCTAAATGAAATTAACGCTTTGTCGCCACAGGAAATGGCACAAGATTACGAAGAATTGTCCAAAGAATGGTATCATTTAATATTAAATGAAAAGGACTTTAATTTACTTGCTTGTGCTCCAAATATTAAATGGTATTCTATTTGTCGATGTCATCTAATAGCAGACGATGGTAGTACAGCACATGAACATCTTCACGCTTTAATACATTTTACTAATGGATTTACAATGTTGGCCTACAAGAAAAAACTACAGCGCACTGGTACACGACTCCATTCAAAAACAACTTTTAGGAAAATAATTTGCTTGGACCATGCTGTTGGTGTCCTCAGATACATCACCTGTGCTGATGGACAAAAGCCACTTAGAAGGGATGGAGATGGTCTTAGGGGTACACCTCATTCTCATTACGACAGAAGAGTATTTAAACAAGATTGGTTACATTCTCGAGGAAAACAGTGTGGTTTAGTACGCACAGAAATTTCAGAATTAGCATCTGAAGGTGTAAAAGACTTAGAAAACTACACATCCGAACACGAACTTCATGATAAATCCACATGTAGATGTGATAGAGGTGCCGAAGGAATAAGGCGGAGGGAAGAAGCTAACGAGAAACGGAGACAATTTTACAAAACAGAACGGGGTATTGAAATTAGGAATAATTACAAAGAAAAACAAATTAAGAAAAAGAAACTTATTACAAGTTTACTAAAAATGGGGCTAAATAAAAAAGCTGAGCTTCAAAGAGAGACAATTTTAAAACTCATTGAGTTACTGTAAATACTTAATACTGTTTCTTTAAAAATATAATTTTAAAACAAAATATATTTTATTTTATTTTCATTGTCCAATGTTGACTTTACCCTATTACAAATAACTTTCCCCCATTTAAATTATTAGCAATATTTGTCCAGTCTTTACTTAAATGTCCACACCTGCACTCTACTGTCCAGAGTAAACTACACGTTTTCCATTTAAAAAGCATTGGTGTCCAAGATCCTCTTAAAATCTTATAGGATCTTGGACACCAATGCTTTTTAAATGGAAAACGTGTAGTTCACTCTGGACAGTAGAGTGCTAGTGTGGACATTTAAGTAAAGATTGGACAAATATTGCTAATAGTTTAAATGGGGAAAAATTATTTGTAATAGGGTAAACTCAACATTGGACAGGGGTTACGAGGGCATACGAGAAGTTCTAAATCGCTTTAAAACTTCTCGTATGCCCTCGTAACCCCTGTCCAATGTTGAGTTTACCCTATTACAAATAATTTTTCCCCATTTAAACTATTAGCAATATTTGTCCAATTTTTACTTAAATGTCCACACTAGCACTCTACTGTCCAGAGTGAACTACACGTTTTCCATTTAAAAAGCATTGGTGTCCAAGATCCTCTCCTCCAGCTATTTAGCAGGAGTGAATTACACTTGACGATGTGTATAAGGAATAAGGAGGAAGTAAATTAGGGTAAATAAGGTGGTGTAACTGGTGTAATTTACACTGGTGGACACTACACCAATAGCGAACGAAAGAACCTTTTGTGTACTTGTCTCTGAAATGTAATGAAGATAAGACGTGGTTAATAAAATAAATGTTTTAAGTCTGCGAATTTGATTTAATCATTCGACCAAATTCAGGAGGTTATTCTATAGGTTATAGGCCCAGAAACAGAATAATCAATAATTATTACTGGAAACTCTGCTAAGCTGGAAATAACTGGAACTTGTAATTTGGATCGATTTGGAAAAAATGGCGGTATCATCACAGGTACACGTTTCGAATCTTAAACAATTTGATGGAACAGGTTTTTCAAATTGGGAATTTAGAATGAAACTGATACTGGGACAAAGTGATGTTGATGAAGCTATTTTGGAAACTATTACACCAACAAGGGCAGCGGAAAATGAATTTAAGAAGAAAGATGTGAAGGCGCGGAATATAATTGTCCAATGTTTATCGGATAATGTGCTGGAAACGGTAAAGAATAAGACAACAGCTCGTGAAATGTATAAACATTTGTGTGAAACTTATAGAAAAACAGGTCTTGTAACTCAAGTTGAATTACAAAGGAAATTACGGTGTATGAAATTTGAAAGAGGAAATTTA